AAAACAAATTATGACGATGTAAACAATGCACTTTCCAAGGTACTTCACTGGTTCTCTTCTAATAATCTTAAACTGAATGCGAGCAAAACTAAATGTGTGAAATTTACTTTGCCGAATGTAAAGCATGTTGAAATGGGGGATATAATTCTAAATGGTGAAAAACTAATTTTAGTTGATACAACCGTTTTCTTAGGCGTAACACTAGACCACAAACTTCAATGGAACCCTCACATTACAACACTAGCCGGTAAACTAAGTTCTGCTGCTTATGCAATTTATAAAATAAGACGGCTTACAGATGTCGACACTGCTAGGACAATATACTTCAGCTACTTTCACAGCATTATGTCGTATGGCATTCTATTATGGGGCACGGCCGCAGACATTGAAACAGTTTTTATTCTTCAAAAACGAGCTATAAGAGCTATTTACCGCTTGGGATCTCGAACTTCTCTTAGGGATAAATTTAAAGAAATAGGTATAATGACTGTTGCCTCTCAATACATTTACAATTGTATATTGTTTGTGCGTCAGAACATAAATTTATATACGAGGCGCGATGATGTACATAATTTCAATACCAGAAATAAAGATAAACTCAAATTGCCACCATTGAGACTCCAAAAGGTTCTTGGTTCATTTGTGGGTCAAGGTATATGTTACTATAATTTTTGATGTCATCTTTCAATTGTCGACACTGTGTGAAACAAAACAGAGAAAAAAAAATAGCCCTTGCTGAGTTTCTTGCCGGTTCTTCTCAGTACAAGGTCTCCCGCCGTAGATTTACGAACCGATGGCGTAGCGTTTGAATACCAAAAAAAATAATTAATTTACCTTTTAATAAGTTGAAAGTGTGTATAAAAACATGTCTCCTTAAGAAAGGTTACTATACTGTAAAAGATTTCATAAATGATAAGTCACCTTGGGCTTAACATAATAAATAGAGGTGTCGATTCTAGCGTGATTCTCTAAACCTAAACTTAAATTTGACAGCAGGATATCCTTGTTATTCTCCATACAGAATGAAAAGGAGAGACTGATGTTAAATTTAGTTTTAAGTTTAGAGAATGACGCCAGAATTGGCACCAGACTGTCGTTTTACTTTGCTAATTTGGTTGAAAATTGTTTAATCGCCACTTCTAAATTTAAAAATAGTACCTAGTTATACTTAACTTTTGTTAATTAATAATATTAATGTGATGGAAGTTGACATCAACACATGTATTCAATTTTTGATGTCAACTTTCAATTGTCGACACTGTGTGAAACAAAACAGGGAGAAAAAAATAGCCCTTGCTGAGTTTCTTGCCGGTTCTTCTCAGTACAAGGTCTCCCGCCGTAGATTTACGAACCGATGGCGTAGCGTTTGACTTTCACAAGAGCTTGTAACAGCCTAGACTGAATAAATGAGTTTGAATTTGAATTTGAATGAGTTCTCAATTTCATAATAGTGTCGCCAGTGACTTAGTTAACGTGATAACTGAAAGTAAGAGTGGAAATATGCATGTCGTTTTGATCCATTGAGAACTGTGGTTAAGAATACGTAAACGTTTTGCCTGCCACGCATATGGCGTTTTCATTCTCATTATGCCATAGGGAAGCAGGAAGCTTACTTACCGTTAACTCTTATCTAGCAAAAACGAAATGGACGGGGTAGTTGGGTGTGCGTGTGTGGCAATTTATGACTTTTCTACTCCCGTTTTTATTCTTTTCAAACGACATGTGTATATTGTCCTGTCGCTCTCGATGGGCCAATTACATAACACCATGATATTCGTTTCTTTTCGGCGTGATATTTTCAAACAGTGTTTGTTCAAGGTACCGTTACGGCACGATAGATATAAATTCCTTGCCGTTAGATAAAATTTATTATATCGATTTCCTCCGTGCTTGGGAAAGCACGTAAAGCCGTTGGTCCCGGTTGCATCTGTCGTCATTAATACCCACCAATCCGCACTTGGCCCGCGTGGTGGGTGACGCCCCAATCTCCCTATTCCATCCATGGGGAAGACCTGTGCCCCAGCAGTGCGGACATTAATAGGCTGTGATGAAATACGGTATCGCAAGCGTCCATAGACTATGATAGCCGTAACCATAGAGACGGGCGGGCGGGCCATATACTTAATCGCCACTATTTTACATAACAAAAACAAAGTAAGTCCAGCCCGTCGCGTCGTCGCCGCTTAGGTTCTATAAAGCCGGGTACTCATTAGCGAGCTGTAACCGTAACATGCATACAGCGGGTCAATTATGCTTTAGTGATATAATCCTAATGTGATGTCAATATGATGTTGATGCTAAGTTGACATTGTTTTAAAATGGTATTATGAAACATTCCTATGTCTCATCAATATCATATCCTGTATCACATTTTTGACGTTTATGCGATACTGTATTAAGTTAAAAAGTTGAACGTAATACGCATTTAAGTTGATATCATTTTAAAGAGTTGATCATAATGCGCATAAGTTGATGTCTAGTTGATGTCATTTTGATATTGCATTTTTCAGAGAGCATAATAGGTAATGTGAAATTGACATCAAAACAATATCACAATTAGCGAGCATAATAGGCTAGTTGACCCTTTTTGGAAAAAGGTTTTAAATTGTTCATAAATGTTCTATTAGACCGAAAAAAAATGTATTGTATTTTTTTTAAACCTAGAAAGCTACAAATCTTTAATTTTAAAATAGACTTTTCATGGACATACAAAAACGCTGTCGGCCATTTTAGTCTATAGATTATCTATGCTATGACGTGAACTGTGGTAAACAAAAACTCGTAAACACGTAGAAAATTACTTTTAACTGAGTTTATAATAAAAAAAAACATGATTTCTAATAAAAACCACTAAAAATAAAGTAATTATCATTACTGTGTTGTACGAGAATATAAAAACACATCCTTGAAGACTCTAGGAAAGTTGTGGATTAAAGTGCCGAAAGAAATTAACCTACGCAACTTTATTACACTTATTCATATGTTGTATCAGTTTTATGTTTATTACTACATTGTAATACTAAATGCACTGTACTTACATAGATGCCTTGTCGTTTCTCTGCTCCGCAGAGCAGAAATCGGGGTTTAGTGCAACAAATTCACCAACCATCAATGCGTCAATTCTTGGCAGATTTGTGCTTTCTGCTTTCACAAAGCCGGCATCCATAATTAGTTTTGACAAAAAAAACTAAGTTTACTGTTTTTTTCTTTCCTAAGGTTAAAAGTGTTTTAAGATAAATTTAGTCAGACGAAAGAATCCACCTACAGTAACACGCGAATGACATTTAGTTGTTTACCACAAGAGACGTCAAAATCATGGCGGATGTGGCGAACAGCGTTTTTAGTGTTTAAAAAATATAGACTAAGAAATATTTTTTAAAATTAAATTTCTACAGCAATCTTCTGCTTTTATGAAGTGAAATCGATATATTAAGGTTCCTTAGACTAAATACTTTAAGAAATAAACATTTATTTAATGCAATTCGACATGAGTAAACTAGCCTATTGGCCTGCAGTACGCGCGTGTACGCTTGTAGCTCATTTGCAAATGAGAATTTGCTCGTCGACTCGCTGCAAACTGCACGCGTACCGCTCGCAGCAGGTTAGCGAACCATGTACACTCGTATGCTTTTTGGTTATAGTGCATGCAACGGTTACGGTTACAGCTCGCTAATGAGTACCCGTCTTAATATGCAATCTCAGCTTTCAGTTTCAATAATTTGTATCTTTGCCATTGGTTTCTTCAACAGTCATTGCGTATTTAATTGGCAGTAACGTATTTAATTAATCACACTAATATTATAAAGGCGAAAGTTTGTGAGTGTGTATGTTTGTTACTTCTTCACGTCTAAACGGCTGGAGCGATTTTAATAAAAATTGGTATGGAGTTAGCTGACACCCTAGATTAACACATAGGCTACTTTTATCCCGAAAAAATGTTAGGTTCCAGAGGGATTTTCAAGAAACTTAGTTAACGCAGACGAAGTCGCGGGCGACCTCTAGTGTTTAATATAAATATCTAAAATAAGAACTTACACCAGGGTCGATAATTTTAAAAATGGTAAAAAGTGAAATAAAATATAGTAGGATGAAACCCATTGGAAAAGGAAGAGATTATAACAAAAATGAAAGGAAAAATAAATTACGGGTGAACTGAGGTCGGAACGGGGGAGGGGTTGAGTTTTTAAGGGTAAAAAACGGTTAATCTCGATTGCCGGTAAAACTGCAAGTCCTATGAATAAAAGTTAAATAGCAAAGTTGTAAGTAATAAAAAGATCTACAACTTTTGTATTGACAGTTTTTTGACATAACCTCAAACAACCAATTTTTTGGTTTTTATTTTTTGCAAAAAAAAATATTTTTTCACGAATATTTGTGAAAACTTACCTTTGTATGTCCCAAACATACAGTGAATTGAAATTTGAATTTGAATTCAATTCAATTCAAACATACAGTATTTTTTTTTATTTAAAATATTCATTTTTTCACCTTGTTTTGACTTAATATCGAAAAAGCACCCTAATTGCCAATCGAAAATTCTCACGTCAAAATATCTGCTTTTTAAAATATTTTCAGATTCGAGTTTTTTTCATTATTAATTTGCTGTTTCTGAGAACATTTACCATAGTAGTGTATATTCTTTTATACTATCAGAAAGTAGAGATTTCAACAAACAAAAAACACCAACTTTTTTAAAAAAGCAGATATTTCGACGTGAAATTTGCTTCGCTTGAAAATTAGGGTGCTTTTCCGATATTAAGTCATAATAAGGTGAAAAAACTAATATTTTAAATCAAAAAAAATTTCGACCCTGGTCTAATTGTCAACATTGAGATTTTAATTCACAGAATTGGCAAATAACACTTGACAGGTAAAAGTGACAGAATAAATATATATTACTACGTTTAGTTTTTATTCAGCGATAAATTAAATAATAACAATAGATACATACAGAAAAAGCGATTCTTGCGTAAGTACTTAGGTACTCGTATATCAAGCAAAGTAGATCATGTTGGTATTTTGATCATTAGGTACAAAAATAATTCAAAAAGTATTTTATTTTAATCAGCCTTACAAAATATAACCAAAATTATTATTTATACACTTAAGATGAATTGTTTACTTTCTATAAATTAGCTATCGTTATTTGAAGTCTAGAAGCAGTCAATAACAATGAAGGGACTTTTCTCGGTAATCATCCAGAACAGCTAAAAAGTACTTTAGGTACTTTTATTCTATTATGTAGGTACGTACAATCTGTATTGCCTATTCAATTTTGGTTACTTCTCAAATAAATTTAGAAGTGACTAGTAAAGATTGTTTTTCTCTAAAAAATCTCTGACAATTTTGTTCACTTTCTCTGGTTCTTCTTGCTGCATAAAGTGACCACAATTCTGTATAACTTTGCACTCGATGTCATCGTATTCTTCCTTGAGGATTTCTTGGATCTTTGTTTCGACATACAGATCTTTCTCGGCGTGAACGACTAGCATAGGCACACCTCCGGTACGTAATTTATTTGGCACGTTGTACATCACATTAGCTCTGTAGTAATTTACGGGAGGAGTGAAGGCAACTGAAATGAAAAAGAAAACATTTTGTGACATCATACTTTTAACTTATTTGTCATGATCGTCTTCAAATAGAAGCGTTACAAGGAAACTTTTTAAAGTCTAGTAGAAACTATGCAATTATCTTTGTACCTTTGTCTAATATTAGTATTATCATATGCCAATATACGTGGTATTATTATTTATTTAAGAAACCACTGATACAGTTATCGAAATAACCCGTCGCATTTACCCTATCTTAATAAAATAAAGTTAATTTTAAATGGTTTCAGTTCTGTAGAGTATCAAATAACAAATAAAAATATTGTTTATTGAAATTGGAAAAATAAAAACAATTTTATTTTTCAAAAGTATTTTCTCCCTGTTCAGTGCCTTTTTTCTTTTACCTGAAGAGAAGAACTAGCTATAAAAACTCCAAAATATTGAACAAATATTAGCCTCTTTTGTTGGAAATCAATAGTTTGTCAAGTTTTATTGGTATAAATTAACGGTTAAATACGGACTGTATACGGAAAAATATATTTAGCCAGCGAATTCAAGACAACGATAAATTTTTTGCTAAAAGTTGCGAGGTAAGTCACGAAACAGAAAAAAAACTGTTCTGTGTGACAGCAAAAAGTATTGGCGCGTATTTTTTTTCCTGTATTTTTTCATATCGTCAAAACATTACAGAGATTTGAAATCGATTATTTTTACTTAGAAGTGACGTCACGAGCCCCCACTGCCAAACTTTATCTTTGTGATTTTTGGTTGATGACAAAAGAAAAAATAATTATGTGTAAATCATTTATTGGTAATCTAACTGACGGACTTAATAGAATTTAATTTAATTTGCCCTGTCATCATCCCTATTCAAAATGTAATAATAATTATAATTGTAGACTTCTGTAATACAATGGACCGCAAAGAATCCGAGTTACCCGCTACTACCTTGGAACTATCAAAGTTATTTTACAGAAACTGCGTTTCATAATCATTAAAATGAGTTAAATTTTACTCTAATCTAAAGTATTGTCAACTTACTATGTAATCAATTAAGTATCACAATGCTAACGATTTGCTTATTATTGAATAAAGTTGTGATTAATGTTCTTCTTTATAAAATGAACATAGTCTGAAACTTTTTATCACTTCTTTAGTTTTCGTCTATATTATTCTCAGACGTGTATTTTCTTGCTGCGTTTTTTACTATCGATGAACGTAACTGAAAGACTCTTCATTAGAAAATTCTTATTAAAAACTCACAAAATTTATTAATATCATTAAATTCCTAATCATTGTAATAAACATGAAACGCAATTTCTGTAGTATAACTTTTCGACAGTTGTAAGTTTTACTTTTTGTGTAGTGCCTAATCATAGGTACCATATTCGTAATAAGCTCTAATAATAAATACTTACACTGTTTGCCGAACCAATACTTGTAGCACTCGATGTCTTCGGCCGTGACTGTATCTTTTCCGGGCACCAACATTGATTTGTCAAACATCGCGAGGTTATTCAAAGACATCATATGTTCCGCCAGGTAAGGGGCGCGGAACATGAACACATACCTAAAAACATATTAAAATATTCGACTTATTGGAAGGCAAGCAACGTAACGTAAGCTCAGGATTATCGATAAGTCGAACCACCCGCCTTTGAATCCGGTCAAGAGGAAGGAACTGGTATTGCGTTTATGCTTGAAGTACTTTCTCGCTCTATTGAGCACCCCAAGTTTTTTGCAAGCTAGTTTAGCTTTTCCTTCCAAATGAACTCAGAATTGAACTTAATGAAAATGTCGATTCCTATATATGTATAGGAATGCCACCAAACAAAAAAAATAAAAATAAGACTTAATCTTGTTTAACCTGTGTGTTTAACACGAGAAAGAAGAGAATAAAAATCACTTACCAAGACTTCCTTAGTTGTTTTATGTCGGTCCGTATCCGCTTGTCCCAAGCTTCTATAGTCAAGCTGCTAAGCATAACTAAACAACTCAACAGTTGAGGGTAGACATCGCGTAGTTTGCAGCCTACAATGCCGCCCCAGTCATGTGTCAGGAGTATGCATTTCTCACGACCTGGGGACCAAATTTTACTTACCTATATTAACAATTTAGACAATTAGTGCAGTCATTGAAGCGAAAAATACGGTCTTACCCCCGATTTTTTTTACTGTGAACCGATTTGCATGAAATTTTGGAATTAGGCTCATCTTACCCTTTACTTCAAAAGTGAAAATAATCTGAACTCCGCCTATTATTTTTAAGGGGTGTAAACAACCCCTTAATGGAAAAATTGACATTGAGCCATTTTATCGCTAGAAAACATGTCTAATAGTAAGTGATGAAATTGTAAAGTATTTTCTAACATAATTACCTCATATTAAAATCATTTTCAACCCCTTGAAAATCTTACAACCCGGCAATAACCCCTAAATTGAAAAAATCACAAAAAAATAGTTTGGTATGACATAAAAAGATGTAAGTATAGAGTAAGTAATATTTTATATTCTCTATAATAATTATCAAATTTTTAACCCCCTTTCAACCCTTGAAAACTACCCCTTGATAAAAATTGTTAATTTTTTTTTTGATAAAATGTAAAGGATTTAAATATTATTCCACACTCTCGAAAAAGATTACCATATTCTTAAGCTTTTCTACCCTTAAAACTACCCCTAAATTAAAACAGTAAATATATATATGATTACATATTTAAAAATAATTTAATTTAGAGTAAAAAATTGCCATTTATTGAATAAAATATTGACTAATTATATAAAATTGTACTATTATTATTAAAATATAATATTATTATTCATGACTCAATGTCGGAGTCGCTGTCACATTCAACATCTTCTAGCTGAATGGGAGGGCTATTTTGGCAGTTATCTCCACTGCACGTTCCACAGGTACTATTACAAAACAGACGAACTTTTCTGCATCCGCAAGCTTAGATTAAAACAAAAAGGGTAGATACGGCACTAGAACAAAAACACAAACACAAAAACTACGACACAAAAAGAAATATTGCTAATATTTTGTGTTTATAAGATAAAACAATGCCTAAGTGTGTTTTTAAAAAGTGCTCAAATTGCTTAAGATCTAAAAATTACACCCACAGTATCACTTTTCATTCGTAAGTACGATAAAATATATTTTTTCATAAAAAATGCTGTTACTTTTGTATCTTATTCGGTAGTGACGTCGAGTACTGGTCCCGTGATTGGTCGGTAGTGCAGTGACGCGAATCTCGCCGTCTCGTTCGTTGAAACTTAACGTGCTGTTTCGTTCGGGTCGGTAATGCAGTGACGCGGATCTCGCCGTCCCGTTCGCGCTGCCGTGGGATCAGTTTTTGTTTGATGCAAGTATGAGTGTACCGTATCTACCCTTTTTGTTTTAATCTAAGTCCGCAAGACGCTCCACATCCTTTTTTGCAGTTGCAAAAAATCATTTTCAGCATTTCTTGTGGTGCGGGTGGATCTACAGACTTAAGTGGATTTAATAAACCGTCATTCATGACGATGATAATGATGATGATGAAATGATGAAATGTGTTATATTATACATATAAGAACGTTGGTATGTATTCATGCCTACGTTTCCAAAATATATGAGCCATATTATGTATATATATATACACATTACAATAGTTGTGGGTCTCTATTATACTGCGTACTTTCACATTGCTCCATTGTTTTTGGACCATAACTCCTTCAATTTTCATGCTATCACAATTTATGAAAAACCATTGTAAAGGTAATTAAGAGAGCTACAACATCTTTCATTGCAATATATATTAAAAAACCTTTTTCTAAAACGGTGAAGGGTTAAAGGGCTTAAGAGAGGCTGTGATTGCGCTGCCACGCGCTCTTTAAACAATCATATCTCCGTCAATTTTATTTTGACAGAAAAAACAAAAAAACCTAATTGTTTGTCAGAAAAATAACTAAATTTTTAAATCGAACACTTTTATACGTATCTGTCGTCATTTTTGAGATATTATGAAAAAAAGTGGGTTTTATTAAAAATTTAAATTTTGGTTTTTCTTTTAATCGTGACTTTTTTGAAAAATATGTGTCCTGAAGCAGCCAAACTGATACTATCTATCAAACTCTTCATAATAAAGTTAATTCTAGGCGGAATACGATTAATTTTAATTTTGGTGGAAATGGCACTTATGAAACCCATTGATTTAAAAGAAAAAACATTAGATGCTCCCCTTATTTGCACTACAGCTCACTTATTTTACGTGCAAAATACTTTTAATACTGCTCATTTTAAAGCTTATTTCAAGCTACTACTACAAAACCCTTTTGTATTAGAAAGCATAAAATGCATCTGCTCGCCTCTAGATGGCATTGACCACATCGATTAAATTTCAGACAAAATAAAAAACGGCTTTGATCTTTAATATCTAGCTTAATATTGCACTTAGAATACTTTATAAAAAACCAAATTGTTCATTGTTTTACCTGCTACAATTTTGTTTTTCATATTTTTTTCGATAAAACTTATATTTTTGGAGATATTTGCAAAAAACCGATGAAAAACGGGAAAAAATTGCGAATTTTCAATTGCCAATAACTTGAAAAGTATTGGATTTTTTGAAAAACTTTATAGATGATTTTTTGCTTAAAACTAGGTTATTTTGAAAAAAAATAAATTCACCCCCGAGAAGGGGTGGCAACCACCCCTAGGGTGGTTGCGGAGTTCAAATAATTTTCACTTTTGAAGTTAAGGGTAAGATGAACCTAATTCCAAAATTGTATGCAATTCGGTTCACAGTAAAAAAATTCGGAGCAATAATGCTTCAATGACTGCACTAAATAGCGCATATAATTTCGTAAATAGATAGATAAAAATAAAAAAAAATCGGCTGTTTTATTTTTTTGTGAAATAGTTATTTATAATATTAGTGCGGTAAGTTGCTTACCATTGCTTACCATAGTCACGAGTTTGTAATATCAATTCCATTTGCGAGAATAGTATACCTTATTGAAGAAATGAAGCAATCTTTTTCTAATTACAAAATGGCGCGCATTTCCATTTGGAATGTCATGTGCGGTTTTTATTTCTTTCTATATGGCTTCGCACGGTTTGTGCATATAGCCAATGTCAAGTGTAAATGTTATCATATTCTATAGCACTCGTGGTCAAAATATTAGTCAATTCAAATTAAGTGGCAGTCAAGTCAATCCCCCTTTCCCTATCTTTCAGTAAATGTGTGGGGATTTACTGGAACCTCTCCGTGGACTTCTTGAGGGAACGTCGAAAGACACTCTCCGCTATTTTGTTTCACTTGCTAACACTTGTGCATGGTTCCGAACACTTAGTGGTTAATAATCCACCATTATTAGACATTTACCAAGAAAAACAAAACTGCTAAACTGACGCTTCCCGATCCCGCCAAAAAGTCCTCATGTGTGGTTGGTGAAAATTAGTGCAACATCTTTCGTTTTTTTTTCTTTTTAGTATTAAAGTGAGACATAGGTATAGATTAAAAGTTCTTCCAAGGAGGTTGGAATGAAATAAAAAAAAACTCGTAAAGGATACGCACAGCGCCATGTATGGGAGCAAGCTGTGAAATGTCTTACCGTACGCTCCGTTGTATGGCCCGGAATTTAAAACTTTCGAACAATGTATACAACCTACGTAAATGCATTTGAGAGCAAATGTGTTGAAAAAGTTATTTCGATGGGAGTTGCCAAGCCAAGTGAAGTGTCGGCGGCATAACCTCTCGGTAGAAAGTATATATGTACTGTGGGCATAACTTATACCAGATTTATTAAGACATCTGAGGTACCTATTTTTTTCACGTTTTCAACATTGCTTTTTAAATGCATTCTCTTTCTTTAGAAATGCGTTTCATCCTGTTCTATTTTTTTTTACTTTTTTACCATTTTCAGATGCATCCACCCTGGCTTATAATATACCCTTTATCAGGATCTTAGTACCGCACCGGTCTGTCGAAATAAAGTTTTTTTCACCATTCCGAAACAAGATTTAACGTTGCAAATTCTTCTAAACCGTTACTGAGTCTTAGCCCTGTGCCGCAGTAATTATAGTTTTGGGAACAATTCTTAAAATAGAAAACCCGCAGGAATCGTGTAAAGAATAAATACTTCCTATTCTTGCGACTTAAATCACTAACGGTGTTAGATGTTAAGGTTATTTTTATGGATAGCTAAAAAGAGGATCATGTCCCATACAAACCTAGTTGATGTATGAGGTCTCTGATATCTTCTATTAAAACAGTGATGTGGTATTCATCAACGCCCTCTGGTCGCTCCGAATCTCCGTACCCACGCAAGTCGACAGCGATACACCTGAAAATGTAAGTTTGAAATACATATTAAACATCCATGACTGGCGTTCAAATGCTCATTTTCATTCGAGACCTCTCGAGTAGGCGACATCTTGAAACCCGGCTTCAATAAGTATAAATCATCACTTTTCTGCATTTGAATTAAAATAAGACAACAAATCGCTTTGGTAAGCATTATTAGCTTAATTCTCGACTTCGTTATAATTTATGATGATTCTTTTACGGAAAAGTCAACTCGTTGATGTCTTTTATATCAGAAAAGAAGGGATCTATTTAGATGCTTAGATTAGATAGTAAAAATATTGCTTAATTTCATTTTCTCCACCGCATCAGCACACTATATTTTCAAATGGATTCTTATCATTTATTAAAGATCAACGGTTCTGAACATACATAGGCCCTAATAAGATAAATGATACGAGCCTTGACTTTTTATTGAATAATTATAACAAACGCTGTTGGATAATTTATATTTAATTCAAAATTTTCATTATTTTCATGGATCAAGATATCTAATAAACAATTAACATAATTAGCAACTTTAAACGGTCCAATAGAGGCCACTAGAAATACCTTTCGTAGAGAGTAGGATCAAGTCGAGTGCGAGATAAAATTTTCGCATGATGTATTTTCTTCTTTTCAAATGACCTCAATTGGAGACAGTATAGAAAGTCATCCGTGAAGAAAGAGGCAGATTTGTAATTTTAGCTCATTCAGAAAGATTGCACTTTAGCTGCATTCTGTTTTTAAAACAATAACCGGATAGTGGGTCAAGTTAGTGGCAACGATTAACAATCTTGCCAGGAGATCGGCTTTCTCTCATGCCACTCGTAAGCTGAGCTTGTTAGCGTATACCTGTTTATTAAACAAACCCTACTTTGTAAAATCTGCAATATAAGTAGTGATCGTCAGTATTTTTATGTCAAAATAACAATTTCTCAGAACTTCAGAAAATCATAGCGAATTTTCCGCTCGAATTGGAGCGCCTGTCTGGATAAGTAACCTCCACCTTACAGAAGGTAGTATAGTAAAAAGCTGTGGTGGCCGCTTATCATCAGGCAGGCCATACGCGTGTATAGCACCCTTTTAAGATAAAAAAAAGATTAATATTTACCAATAGTCCTTTTTGAATTCCACGATCTGATGGCGCCAGGAGTACCAAAATTCTGGGAAGCCATGCAGCATTATTAAGAGGGGCTTGGTTGGGTCACCGCTCTCCACATAATGTAACTTTATATTCTGGAAATAACAAACAGATTTTATGTAATACTAGTAGCCCGCCCTCGCTTCGCTTCGGTGTAGAGCTGCAGTGTAGACTATAGTTTTTGTTCTCAGGCATGTATTGAACACATTGAATTTATTTATTTAATTCTTTTTCTATGATTCTTTTTTTATTGAATAGGTAATAATGTTAACTTTTTTAAATTAGAGATGAGTGAGAGTATTATAAACGTAAGAGTAAACAAATATAATCAGAATGCTCCGAACTGCTAAGCTATCAGGAGTTACACGTATTATTGTGAGTAAACCATAAAAGATAGACATATGCTGTTGCAGGATATTTTTTAGACAATTTTATGTAGAATATTTCCGTCATACATGATTTCTATGTAACTTTAACCATTAAGGCTGCGCACGCGACGGAAGCTTAAAAAATGGAGTAACTTCTCCCGTTTTCCCAACATTTGCCTTCACTACTCTGCTTCTATTGATTGTAGCGTGATGAAAAGTATACTATAACCTGCCCAGGAGTATGAAGAATAATTGTACCAAGTTTCGTTAAAATCCGTCGAGTAGTTTTTGTTTCTATAAGGAACATACACACAGACAGACAGACAGACAGACAAAAAAATTACTGATTGCATTTTTGGCATCAGTATCGATCACTAATCACCCCCTGATAGTTATTTTGAAAATATATTTCATGTACAGAATTGACCTCTCTACAGATTTATTATAAGTATAGATACCGCAAAACATAGAAGAAGAATTTATAAATCTGAATAAAATTCTCGGTCCAGTGAATGGGAATAGAGAGGGGTCTTCAATTACGAGACGGTCAGACAGAGACCAGACTGCTGGTGGTCTCTGGACCTGACAGAGCCATGAAGGCAGATGCCTTCGCAAGATGTCTGAGAAAAGTAGTGGCAGAATACGTGGAGGTGAGTAGACCGGAGAAGATCGCTGATTTGGGAATCTCCGGTCCTGACGAGTATGTCGCATCAGAAGAACTAGTGGAGGCGGTGGCTAATAAGAGAGGCTGCTCCACCAGTAAAGTGATGGCGAGGCCAATTCGTCTCGGACCGGGAAGTTCCGGGGTCGCCACTGTCCGTTGCCCCATAGGTATCGCCAGAAAGTTGGCTGAAGGCTAACCATGAAAGTAGGCTGGAGTTGCACTCGAGTGATTGTTCTTGGTCCCCCAACCGCACGTTGTTTCAATTACATGGGGAGGGGGCAAGTCCCTGGCAAACAGGTCGCTGAGCTATCTCCTTGGAGAAGAGAACCACGGTTCCTGTGATGTTTAGTGCCACTGATACTCCGGGAAACCACACAATCACCGTCGGGGCCGCGGAGTACTTCTTTCCCGCGGTATTAATTAACTTTTACCCCCGACACGCATTAGAACCGCGGGTCGGGTGACCGGTGCAGGAGTATTGTCTGGTTTTTTCCGTTTAGACGGGATTCGAACCCGCATCTTCCGCTATCCGGGCGGACGCAGTTACCAACTATGTTACCGAGGCCTTAATGGCCGTGTCGAATTTCTTCTAGTATTTCTTAGACCGTGCCATTTCAATAATCTTAATTGGTTAGTGCGTCCGTCCGGATAGCAAAAGAGGCGCGTTCGGATCCCGGCTGATGCCTGGGCCAAGTGGATATTTTTATAGTAAATTTTTTTGCAGGAAACGCTTAAAAATTAAAATATAATGTGGTAAAGTCAATTCACGAATAAACAAACAATGATCTTTTTTTTATTATTATTATGATTCAGTTAAGATGAGTTTAATACAATCAACCACCTCTAAACGCAATTATAAATTGCGTACGTATAATCATATATATACTTTACATTCAAATCAATCATGAGTAGCTCTAGATCACAGTTAGCAGACCATTAAAGATGTGGTGGTAACAAAATATGTAATGTTACTCCAGTCCGTCTACAGCGTCATTTGGAAACTATAGTAATAGATAACCAGTCTACAACAATTTTCTAATATGCCCTTTTCCTTCATCGGCTTTTACTGTTTGCAAGAGAAAGTTAGCAACAGGCGCATTCTATGTTTTTCTTTCACATTCTCAGTACCCATTGAATAATTTATGAATCATTTTCCAAAAAACTGTTTTAGGTTAAGTATGGGCGATTCGTTTGCAAGAAATTCTTTCCGTAAGTTGGTCATGTGGGCGAGTGTTTTAAGGATGTGTCAACTCAGCTCCACCCCAAAATTACAAAGCATTCCGAGTAAGTAACTAGAGTAAGAGCAGTTATAAAACACCTACTGAATAGATAAATAAGCTGTTTCAATAAGAGCCGGATGACTAAACATTGCTCTATATATACAATATACCTCATCGTTGCCACATTTGTTTTTGGTTAAGACTTACCACGTAAATTAGTTACTAAACGGTTATCGTTATGTATATAACTTCCTTGGGGCTTACATATCTGTATACAATATTGACAGTTTAAACAAGGTTTAAACAACATCTAACTTTAGTCCACGTTTTGTAACAAGGCGGAAATGATCGAATTTAGGTCAATATGTGATTACTAGTTCATTTAGTTCAACAGCACCTTATGGCGTTGCGATTCGCAGAACAAAGCTAGTTGGTGCAGCGCACTACGAGAGAAAGGCAAAGATTCCAGTTCCAGCAGGTGCCAAACGAAATGTATACGGCACTGCAACTTAGATTTAAAGGTACGTTTATTATTTAAAGTTTATTGGTTTGGCACAGACTCCAATTTTGGTGCCAGGCAAGTACTTTCTAATATAACTTGAAGTTCAAAGTTTATATTAAAGATATTATACAATTATTTATGATAGGTACCTACTTATTTTTTTAATATAGAGGTAGGCAAATGACTACCCCACCTGATGTTAAGTGGTAATAAAGTCCAAACGCGAAGATAGCTGGTACAGCAGTTATAAACTGGTACACCAATCATCCTCACCTTGCCGGCCTGCAAAAATGCTTCTTCACGCCTCTCTTAAAGGATCCCGGAATTATAGGAAGGACGGAACACTTGCGCGGGTAAAGAATTCTACTTACGAATAGTACGACAAAGAAATGAGTCACCAAATTTCTTTGTTCAAGTAGGAATAGTGGCTACAGTTAGTCGGTGACAATGTAGGCCAGCGCGCGTGGTCCACTGAAGAAAAGGTGATGGAGGGATAAGGAAGAATTACTCCTCAGAACACTCGCCGTGGTTTAGGCGGTAGAATGCGCTTAATAATGCCACATCGCGGAGTAATTGTAGAGACTCAAGTTTATTAGTTACCTCTCCATCGCCAATGATGCGGGCAGCGCGCCGTTGCAACCTATCCAAGGCATCGAGTAAGTACTTGGCGGAGCCATCCCAGAGGTGCGAGCAATATTTCACGCAGGACCACACTTGCATTTTGTACAACAAGCACAGTTGATCGGGCGTGAAAAAACGCCGCACCTTGTTCAGGACTCCGAGTTTGCGTAAAGCTGATTTGATCACGGTTTCGATGTAGTCCTTTGGATTCAGGTCTGAGCGAACTTCCATACCGAGCATGGTAATGTTTCTCTGTAGCGGTAGTGTTGTGCCCTGAAGAGAGGGAAGGGGAAGGAATGGCGATGTTTTTGCCGTGAAAGCGCAAGCCTGAATTTTCTTTGCATTGAACTTAATTAAGTTGCTGGTACCCCATACATAAATGTGGTCGTGATTGAGTTCAGCGACAAGATTCTTCCGTTTCTCCTTGGTTTCTACCTGCCGCTTATCACAAATTAATTATTGTTTATTGTAGATGTAGGTAATTTTTTTGTAAAATCCGTTTTCTTTTGAGAGTTAAAAAACCAATATGATACTGGTTTTAAAACGTATGTACCTACGTATATACAGTCAAGGCCGTTTAACAGAGTACCGTACTTCATTTCATTACGTAGCCATACGTAATCACTGCCATGGCCTTGATTTTACATCATCGAAATTTAGGACCATTTCGAAACGTTCTCACAACTCTCATGATGAAACATCTTGGCGAATTTTCTGCGGATCGGAGCCAGTATTAAACCCAGGCTTTATTTATAACTCATTCATTTCACCCAATCCTCAACAAATTTCGCATTTTATATCAAGGGAATTTAAGTTACATATCAAGTTAAGACAGCTTTGTTGATATTGCTGATGCAGTAGGTACTTATTTGATTGAGCTGTGAGTTTTTATTTAATAAATAAAATATCCAGAAATTTAACTCAATCCTGTATCGTAGTAAGCGTCCAGTGCCACTTCAGCCACCATCATCAACTTACCGGATAAAACTCAATTTCGCTGCCCCGTGGAGTTCTGATAAATAACACAAAAATAAATCGACAAACTTACACAACAATTCTACTTTTAGTAATTACTATACTCAGGTCATTCATCAAAAAAAAAACTTTATTTCCTTTTACATTCAACTTGACAAGTAAGCAACGCAGCAAGCGTTGCTGGTGCCACCTCTTAAGCATCAAAATGCCTGTACCAGGGACAGTGCCATCTTTGACCTATTGGATAATTATTCCTGTTAAATGACCCCGTTTGGTGATTTAACAGGAACTAGGGACTTTGTATTTGATCTGAGGCACTTGCCCAAAGTGCCCACTGGGCAAGAGGGGTCTGATCAGGGAGCACATTTAAGAAAGATACTGTAAATACACATTGGTGAATTATAAATAAACTAGAAGATTGGCTTTTGTCGTCTGTTACGTGTAGATTAATTCCTATTGTCCATCCAATACGAACGGGAAAACCGCATTGTACTACCATTGTACTACTTTTAGACCACCTATTAACCAGTAAATATATATTGCACCGAAATTATCCGAAACTTCGATTATTTACATGTTAAGTCTGTTACATGTGCTTATTATACTTGCTCGATAGCGTTTGCGTATTGCGTGTACATAATTATTGTTTACCGAATCATATTTGATGATAGCTATAGATGTCGTAAGAGTTATTTGATAAATCGAGTCTTCGCAAAAATCCTAGACGACTGACAATTCTCAATCT